GGGCGGCTCAGAGCCCATTAAGTGCTGTCAGTTCGCGGGGAAAACTTGGGTGTGTTGATGCTCCTTAAACTGGGGTTGTGTTGGAGAATTTCTGGTTAATTGTTCTTATGTTTTGGGGAGGCTCCTATTCATAGAAGGGTTGTAAATGAGGACCTTGCAAAGGTCCTCCTGGTGAAGGTCTTGGGACCTTGTAAAGGCCTCTCTTGCATTTTCTCTGTGATATTCCTTTCGTTATAGCTGAGGATTTGCTGTGGACTCCCAAATCAATGACTTTCTCCCTTCTCTCTTCTAGAGGGAAACCGTAGTGGTTGGAACAAAATTTGCTGTTTTTGTTTGCCTAAACAAAAGAAAAATATATTCTTTTGCTTTAAATAAGAGGGGTCTATATTGGTTTCTTGTATAGTGTCTTATGCACCAGATGGAACAAGTTTATAGTTGTACTTCTAAACTTTCCCTGTATACAAACGTTGTACAGCTTTAGCTGCACCTGTACAGTTTAAATTAGTACTTTTCTATAGCAGTAGTATGTCTTAGGAAGGGTGTAGGAGGGAGTCTTAACATCTACTGGTGTACACTTACTGGTATAAGGATATCTTATACTTGCTGTTAATACTATTCTGTCAAGTTGTGTTAAAAACATATTAAAAAAATTACAGTGTCACCTTTAATTGATGGAGTTACCTTGGCATAAAAATTTGGTTAGCCAGCATTTAAATTAGTGGTGTGTAGACCTCTAATAAACTTGTCACTGTGTTACTAGTATAATTTTTAATTGAATATTTTGATGTAGATATTCACTTGTGTTTTTTATGAGAGCTTAAGACTGAAGCCTGGGTAAACTTCAGCCTGTAAAGGTGTCTTATTGTAATTCTGCAGGTCTGGGACTGTCTCAAATAGCACTTACACAGTAATGTTACACAACTTCTTATGAAGATTTTTTTCCATAAAAATCACCTAGAGCTGTCTCACAGTATATCCAGTGTACGTATGCAAAGTAAATACACAGTTGATGTCTTGTACATGCATATTTTATTGGCTGGCTCCGTGGTTAGAAATTTAAATTGAACAATGCTGTAGCAAGTGGCCAAGTTACAGAAATAGTAAGGGACGTTATTCTGAGAATAGCTTTTTGTGAGAAACTGCAGAATCCTCTCTCGTGCTTGGTCTTCTTGGAAACACTGAACTGAAGAACAAGCAGCCATATTCTGTGTAGCAATTCTATAGATTGGTATTTATCAGACTGGAGGGAGAAGGTGGATACTCTGTCATGGCCCCGAGCAGAGTTGTTCGGCCCTGCACAACAAATGTGTTCAGGTTGTGCTTGTTGACTCCCAACACCCAGGTGAAAGGATGACATAGACACTGAAGTGGAACTAACTGACAGGCTGCAGCTTGTAGAAGTAGTAAATACAGGATTGTTTCTAGTGCTTGGGCACAGGATTCTGTACCTGTACTTGTGGTATGTCAAAATCCTCTGCTTGGTTAGGGTAAAGGTAGGGAGACTTCTCCACAGAGATCCAGAGATATCCCATTGTCCTGCCCATGTGCACTACTGCTCTGGCTCGTCCTTCCAGTGGCTGTGCCTGGTTCCTGGGGCCAGGTAACCTGTCCAGCACAGTGAATGCTGTTATGGTTTGGGGCTTGGCTTCTCCTTGCCTCCGCAGCAGTGCCAGCTGGAGCACTGCTGGCTCTCACTTGGTCTCACCAGTGTCCAAATGGCCAGTGCCTTCAGGACAGAGGTTTCCTGCCTTAGAACCATCTGTGTCCAGCATCTGGAATAGACACCACACAGCCTGGTGGGCTCACTCTGGCCTTTTAGGCAACTTGGACAGTGTTTCTGTGGGCGCTCAGGGACACCCCGGCAGAGTGGCTGTGATTGCTGAGAGCAGTCTGCCTCTTTCACCCACTCTTTTGAGCTGGCTGAGCAGCTCCTGTGGAAGTGGTCTTCTTCAGCTTCTCTGGTAGGGTGTCCCTGCTTCACCTCATCAGGAGGACAAGTGCTGTGCCCACAAATAAAGGCAGAGCAGTAAGCTGGTCCGTTTTACTCTCAGCCATCTTCTCCGAAGAGAAGCGCTACTACCTGTACTATTCTGAATTATTTAAGAAATTTAGGGCTACGTGTGGTACTCCAGGCAAGTTTGTGAGTATCCATATCTGTATCCAGAGCCAAATGCTAACATTGTCTCTGTTTACATTATCTATCATACTATCCAGTTTGTGTGCTCTGAAGAATATTTTTATGCTGATAAATACATAATTTCTTACTGTAAACCTCAGCTGACAGGAAGTTGTAAAATTCAGTATTACAAGAATTCCATGTCTGACGCTGTCTTCTGTAATGTTATTGTACTTCATGACATTGTTATGCAGTGTTTAACTCAACAGGCTGTTCTGCAGGGCTATTTTCTGTGGTGCATATTCATGTCTGTAGCAGTTTGTTGATATTAAATATTTTGGGTTTTGGTGTCCCATAGTAAAACTTGTAGATTCTTGGCATTACTTAGAGTAGTCGGAGTGCTAGACAAGATGGTGCATGATGTTGTTTCCTCTCTTAGCTTACCAGAGATCCCTTTGAACTAAGGCTGTAAAATCACTTTTAACTAGAGCCATGAAAAAATTATTCAGAAATATGAACTACTCTGAGAACAAGGTGTGAAATTTATTATGTAGCTCTTGATATTTTACTCATGTTTTATGGTGCCAATGCAAATATATGGTATGAATGCAGCTTCTGAGGGCTGAATAGAGCTTCTGCCCCATACCAGAGCTAAGAATGCCAAGCAACTGACTGCTTTTTGTCCTTTTTTAGTTGGAAAAGCCCTGATTTTTGGCATTTCCTTCACTGTTCAGGTTAATGTGAATTACCATTACATCTTCTGTGTAGCTATATATTGACCTGCCTGCATGCAGGTACTAAAATGATTTTATCCACTAAAAGAACATTAGAAGGTATAAAAAGCAATTTTAATTTTATGTTGCTTGTGGTTTTTTCCTTGGATTTTGTATCTCAGCAGACTTTGTAAATGGTTTTGTTCTGTTCCACTGCAGACAAATGGATTTCACATCAGTTTGAAACTTGAAGCTTAAAAATGTCCTGATTATCTTACTTCTTAGAGAAACTGCTTTGGAAAATAAAATGTAGTTAAAGCACATGTTTGTTTACATTATGCAGAAACTATGGCTATCTACTTTAATTGTTTTGTCTTTAACTTGGATTTTTTTTTTTGTTGGTAGTATACATGTGTGCCATCACAGTTTGTGGATTAAAATGCACTCCGGTGTATTCATAGATTTCTGTTATGATTAACTTTTGTTTTCTTATCAAACATAAATGCTCACGGATTTGCCTTTTAGGCTTTAGCCGTATATTTGTTGAATACCAGCTGTAAACCGGGCTATTTGCAGGTGTCTTGTCGGTTCCTTTAATGGATAGGGCCCAAGGTGGGGTGATTCAGGCCCTGTGGGGGGTGATATTCTCCTGACCATTAGTGTCGCATAGAGCCGTGACCGAGCTGGAGTCGGTGAGGTTCTGGGATGCCGAGCCTGTTGGGTGCGGGCTGGCGGTACTCCGGGATTGAACTGACGTCAGTGGGGTCCTTAGGAAGTGCAGGGATGCTTCCCGCAGCCAGAGCTCTTGCTGGAGTTTAAATGCAGGCAGTACAAAGGCCTAGACTTTGTGGAGGTTGATACTATTTTAGAAAAGGCTTTTACCTGTCACGTGCATGAGAACTTAACAGGCTTTTCTGTGAGTCCTGCCTGAAACAAAGGCACAGATGTCACGTCGTTCAGATTCCCTTAGTTAGCAGTGAAATGAGCAGGAATCGGATCAGCTGTATCGATGCCTGGGAAGGGAAGGGGGGAAAGCAGTGACTGGAGTGACTGTGTGAATGCCTTCTTTGGGGGCCTTAAGGAATTCTGGGCTGCAAAACTGGTCGTGCACTGCTTGTCTGGCTGGTGGCCACATATGACCTTTGAGCAAAGTCCAAGAGCAGGGTTCTGGTGGGGATTCCCAGCTCTCCAGTCCAGGCAGTGTGGGATGTTGCTCTTTCCCATGGACATTATCCAGGAG